CCCCCCCCCCCCCCCCCCCCCAAAAAAAAGTAAGGGACTTCCTAAAAAATAAGGGCGAAAAATAAGGGCATTTTTCGAAAGTCAGCTCTATCTTTTTCATTCCTTAAATATAATCCAAATTTAAAACAAGCAATATAAAATGGGATAAAGAAAGTAGTAAATAAATACTTGCCCAAATCCTACATTTCAAGTACATTCCATTAAAATATTAAAACCAACATACCTTTCAAGTTTCAACACTATTCTAAAATCTTATATGGTCATAAGGTTCGTGCCTTCATGCTCATTTTGTGGAACTTATAGTGCCTACTTCGGCGTGATAATTCAAAGTATTTCTCTTTTATGCATACATCTATACTATAATAATACAACAAATTAGACACAAAGAATTAAGGTATAATAACAGAGTAAATTAATACTGTGAAAAAACTTAGAATTAACACAAAAAGTTAACGATATGACAAGATTCAAACTGGTTGCAATATTTAACTGACTAGGAATTGTACTGCTCGGCATTATAGAATTGAATTTCTGATACAGTTGACTATAATCCCCATCACTTGGACTTCTAATACTTGGTGTACGGCATACGAAATTTCACTAGAGATCATACCGTCATATAGTAACACTACGGCAAAAGCAAAATGAAAGCATAAAGGAACAATTTGAAAATAGCGATAGAGATTAGCATTAGCGTTTTAGATAAAATTTCAACAGTGCAGACTATTTTGAAAACGCTAACGCTAAACGCTATCCGTAGATAACTTTTTTTCAAAACGCAAACGGTAATCTGTAACGCTATTCCCAAACAAGTCTAAAAAGGGTCTAGAAATTTACACTACCCATTTTCCTTTAGAGAATATAGGTACTTAAGCGAAGCTATTTAAAAATCGTCATTCTCCTTATCACTCCAATCCTGTCCACAAACAAAGAGTGAAACAACGGCTTATTGTGAAAATTAATTCATAGGACCAAAGCATAGTTTAAGTACTGTCAAAAGTATATATGTATATACCTTTGAAATTCTGCTGTGGTCATCTTCGGGGTCGTTTACTTCGGACCTTGACTTGTCTGATTCTTCTTCTTCCTGGCCAGGAGCTGCATCCGCTTGTTTGCGGTTGTAGGCTTCCATGGCCTTCTCATATGCACTCTTCCTTTTATCTGATTCAGCTTTGTATGAAGCTTTTTCCTAACAAATTGCAATGATGAAGATGACAATGGCCTTGTTTGGGAATAATTCTAAAAACGCTAAAAGCTACCGTCAATAATGATAATAATAATAATAATAATAATAATGCCGAAAATTAGCATCCAAATGTTGAAAACGGAAATCAAATACTTACAATATCAGACATTTCCTTCCACTCTAATCCTCCGGCTTTGCCAACCTGATAAATTTAAAGACTGTTATTAACATTCAATAACTAAATATGCACATTACACAATTTGAACTGTTTTTTCTCTTCTCTGAATTTTCAAAAAAAAAACAGTAATAAATCACTAACGGCTGCAAGGGATTTGTTGTTTGGATTATTGGCATTGAACCTCTTCCTAAACTCCTCCCTATCACAAAAACAAAAATCCAGTAAAAAACAAGTGTGCACAATAATTGATTGTTCTCCGGAGAGAAACCCCCCTGCAATGCGTATTGATCCAATACAGAAATCTGGTCGAAAAGCGTACATGAAAATGAAGAAGGCGGTTTGAGGTCTCTTCGGCTTGTTTGGATCCTTGGAGGCCTTCTTCGCTTTCTTCTTCTCCGCGGCTTCACTTTTCCGCACAGCGAGCCTGTCAAAATTCGCCGCAGAACTGAGTCCGATTCCAGCAAATCGTGTGTTTTCAACAATCGAAATCGCAGATCTCAACAGAAATCGCATTAGAAATCAATCGAAATCAACAAAAAATCGAAATCAACTCACTTGTTGTCTGGCTTGGCTTTCGATTCGGCTCCCTTCATCGCTAAACCTGCCGAAAAATCGATCGAAAAACCGGTGAGAATCGGCCGCGAGCGGCGGAAACCGACGAGAAATCTATAAATCGGCGGCGGAGATGTATCGGTTTCACCTTGAGAACTTGCGAGTATTTCGGCTTTATGGAGAAGTTCAAAAATTGGAAAGAATTGAAGGGTTTGAGAGGGGAGAAGAAAAGGAAAGAACAAATATTAAATATAAGTAGGTTCCAGAATGGAATTTTGGCGGGAATTTGATTTATTTCTAAGTCAGTAAAAGATTAGAATTTATTCTTATTTTCTCGACCTTAATATATTTGTAAGTTAAATAAATAGGTGTTTTACAAAACAGAAAATAATGATATGTACGTCTATGTGAGAAGATTCACATTTTAAATGTGAATCTTGAGACCATATAAATATTAGGAAAAACAAAAATTAAAAAAATAAAATATTTGGATATGTGAAAGAGTAGAGGAACATATTTAATATTTTAGCCAAATATCTTAATCTCCAACAATATCATGGTGACTTTTTCATATGGGAGGTCACAAGCTCGAATTACAATGGGACAATAACTCTACGTATTTTAGATTTTGTTCTTTAGGGCTAAAAAAAAATTAGAAAGACCCAAAAAGAGACTAGCAAATAGTAGAAAAAATAGAAAAAAATGGTAGAATCTTGAAAAAAAGACATTTTTAAAATTTATTTAAGCATATTTTAGATATTATTCTCATTACAATTTTTATTGTTGTTGTTGTTGTTATTATTCTTAACATTATTATTATTGGCCCGGTTCAAGTGACACCGGAGAACGGTGCCACTCTGGTGCCACTGCGTTTTTGAAGCACTCCCGATGTTCCGTTCGTAAAATTGACGATTCCTACCCCTAACCCGGGCCGTATTATTATTATTATTATTATTATTATTATTATTATTATTATTATTATTATTATTATTACCATGATCGTCATCATCATCATAATAGGTAAAAAAGAATAAAACTAGATCATGCAAATTATGTACATGCCATTTAATTAGACACACAAGGAATAGTATATTTATCATTTTTAAATTTAAAATATCTATGTATTCCTCAAGTCAATTTTGATCAATACTTATCCCTAATTTTTAGAACAGCGTTTAGTGCCATGTAAATTAAATAAAATAACAATTTTCACAATAATATTGTACTCCATGTTATTTATATTAAACATGGAAGAAAAAACAATACTCCATATTTATGTTTTAGTTCTATCCTGAATAATTTCTTATACTTCCTTCGTCCCTGAATATTTATCCACTTTTAACTTTTTGGTGAAAATTAGTTTATTTTGACCTCAAATTAAATAAAAATGATATTAGATATTGATACAAAAATAATTTTATTAGATTTATTATATCAAATATTTTCAAAATATTATTTTATCTAATTCATTTACAATATATATTTTATTTAATAATAAGTCAAAAGTTGAAAATAGTTGATCGAAAAAAGTCAAAACTGGACAAATATTTAGGAATGGAAAAAATTCCACCATTATAATAAACAAACAAGCTGATTTCATTGTATTAAAATGTTTTTTTTCCCACTTTTTCCATTGCAAATGAATAAACAATACTTCCAATTCCTAATACTGCGTTAAGCGGCAATGAAGGAGAAATCACAAACTTTCCCTGCAAAGTCTACAACCCAAAAAATAAAAAAAATACAAAATATGGTAGCAATAAGGGTAAATTAAAATCTGATTTTTTTTAAGAAAGAAAAAAAGAAGAAGAAAAAGAAATGGAAGGATCTATAGAAGAAAAGGACACATCAATGGCAGCTCCATTGATTTTCTTTTTGGTGTCTGCATTTCAATTTCTCACTCGATATCTGGAGGTCAATAAGAAGGTTTTTCAATTTTCTTTTTTTTCACAATCTCACATTCTTAAGCATTATTTCTTTATTTTTTGCATATTCTTTTAATTATTTGATAAATATTAATCCATTAGAATTATATTGTGACGGTAAAATCGATTGGATTCGATCTTTTTTTTCCAGAGAGCTACCATGTCTGCTGACGATGTACGGCTAAAGGCGGAAATCAAAGGGCTCCTGAAAGAGGCTGCTGCCCTATCACAGTGAGAAACTCGTACTTCTTCTATCCTGAAATAATTTTTCACTTTATTATTTATATAATCAAATTATATCTTCTTTCTTTATAAATTTTGTCAATCTCTTGCTGTAATTTTTAAATATATAAAATTTGATCTTTTATTCTTTGCTAGTTCCAAAATAAATTGAACTGGAATTAATTTCGATCAAATATAAAATAAAATTGTGTGATTAATACTTATTTGATTACAGGCCTTCAACATTTGCACATGCTGCAAAGATGAGAAGAATGGCAGCTGCCAAGGAAAAAGAACTTGCAAAAAGTATGTTATATTCACTCTACACTCCAAACTTTACACAATAATTGAAAATATTTGAGTGATAGACTATTTATAGATGATAACTAAATGTTTTTTCCATTTTAAAATCTAACTATTTATTTCACCCAAAAATACCCTTGCCAAATCCATTCTCTATTCACTAATTAATTACAATCAAACATTGACTTGGAGTGCTTATTGAATTATTGGTAATGGTTCCATTAAAATGTGCAGGTATTGAAATGCATAGTAAGGAGTTAAGCTTGTCATTTCATATGTATGCAAAAGGCCTCCTAATTTTAAAGGTATTGCTAAACAAATGGGTCTTTAGTTAGTTTTGTTAGAGTATATAAAAATCATTACGGGGGCTACAATCACAAACTTAAACTTACTTTTGGTTGAATTAGTTTCTTGACATAGTATCAGAGCATTGATGACCAAGAAGCTATGAGTTCGAAACTCACCACAATCTAGTTTTAAAAATTTAAAATTTCACGGGCAAGACTCAAATAAGTAATGCCTACAGAAAAACCATTCTTAATCGAGTTGGTTCTTTGACAAGTTTGACCCTCTATCCGAAGATAAGATTTGTCTTCCCTTTTAATTAATGAAAGAAAACCTATCCTTCACTTTTAATGTATAAAATAGATTAAATCCAATATACCCGAGAAGGTATATAGTACAACCGGGTGTATCTAGATTCTAGAGATAGGTACATCTGGGGTAATACTTATTCTGAAGTAGAGTAGTACTCATTCTCGCACAAATATAATTAGCGTGGTATTCATTATAAAATAATGCAATACTCATTTTCACACATTGGCTCAACATAATTATAATATTCATCTACAAATAATGTAGTATTCATTCTGAACTAAAACAGTATTCATTCTCAAATAACTTAGTGTTCATTCTCATGTAAAATAAAATTCATACCATAAATAATTTCTTGGTTGTACCCAAAATTAGGTACAACCGAATGTATAATATAATTTGCCAATATACCCAACCTATCCCATCATTAATTAGCATGTAATTTAGAAATGAGAATCTTGTTTTAGTAAGTATTTTTCATATCTCTCAAAAAAACTATGGAGAAATAATTAATTGTACTTAATGCAGGCCTGCACATACCTTACACTGGTTTTATGGTTTTGGCGTGTCCCTGTAGGTTCCATATCTAATCATCTTGTACAACCTTTTGGTAATGGCTCCTTAATTACTACAATATTCTTCTTGTTAAGTTAACCTTATAAAATGAAACTTCAAATGTTGATGTTCTTGGGGTGCAAAATGCCTCCCACCCCAGACAAAGGGAACCAAAATAAATAGGTTTACCTCAACTTGTTAGTATGAGGCTCTTTGTAAAGTACGTGTTCAAAAGCAAATCTGTGAGGATTTTGTCTAGAACAGATAATATCATATTAATGCAGAATTGGGGTGAGAATACGCACACACCCAACACATATGATAGACTACTCCATTTTCATGTTTGGTGCTGGTTTTTTTATTTGGTTTTTTTTATTTTTGGTGTATATATGTTCATCATATGCGAGTGCTTTGCACTTGGGTTACTAATGTTAATATATACAGGTTATCGAAAAGTAAATTGAATAGATATTTGAGAATGATATCCCTTTGAAAAATCATACCTTTTGACATGTTCTTTTTTTTCAATTGCAGGCAACGTTTTGTCTTGGTTAGCCAGAGGCCAATCAAGCAACAATACAATGGTGCTTAATAGTAAAAACTTTAATTTCTCCAAGAATAAATGTCTTTACATATTATTCAATCTCTATACTTAAAAAATCAAGTTCAATTCTAGATTACTGCAGACTATTATACTTAAGACTGAACACTTCAAATTTTAGTGAAGATTAAGTGACAAAGAGAGTTCATTGTATGCTTTAATTTGAGGTCCAAGTTTAAGACATTTTAATTTAATGTTGTGGGTTGCAGGTTGGGATTATTCCATGGATTTTTGTGTCTACCAAGGCCAGCAGATTCCTGCTCAAGAGAGTAATAAAGTAATGAATTAAAGAAAAGAATTGGCCAAATTAGGCTCTTCAATTGTAACAACTTTGGTTCCAATTTGTTGGGTGTTGGTATATTGTTTACCCTTAGTTTGGTTAAATCAATTCTTTTTTTTGTTAAATGGACAACTTTGGCCTTAAAAATTGGCTTGCATATAAATTTTCTCTTTTGTATTTTAAAGGATAAAGTTATTGATTTAGCATAAATATGATGAAAATTTAGCCCAAATGAAAGTATATATAGCAACATTTTTTTGAATTAGTGTATTAACCAATTTGTCTCATTTAAATATGTCTTTCTCCGTATATGTAAGTAGATAGAGTTAACCATTATTTCATTTATTTGAAACGATCTTACACATTTTTTTGGGTCCTCTAATGTTTTCATATACGGGTTCAGATCAAACCGATTCGGAGGCTAGTGAGATATTATTTTAATTTTTTTAATTATATTTTTCTATATAATTTTATAATATTTTTTTAGAATTCTTTTCTTTTATTTAATGTAATATAAACTTTAAGACTAAAAGTTTCTTCAATGTTAAGTTTTTATTTTTTATCATGAGTTTTTGAAAAAAAGTGCAATTAACAATAAGATATCAATTTTAATGATATCTAAGATCTTTCAATAGGAAGAAAAGAGTGAAAAAAGTAAATATATGTAACTTAAAAAGAAAGTTTTTATGTAATACGAATGAAGGATATATTTTATTTAAAGTATGTTAAAAAGTTAAAAACAATGATATTTGAAAATGTTTAATGTATACTTCCTCCGTCCTTGAGTATTTGTCCAGTTTTGACTTTTTTCGGTAACTATTTTCAGCCTTTGACCTATAATTAAATAAACTATTACCTATGTATTGTATATTAATTATATAAAATAATATTTTGAAAATATTTGATATAATAAATCTAATAAAATTATTTTAGTATCAATATCTAATATTATTTTTATTTAATTTGATGTTAAAATTTCCCAATTTTAACCGAAAAAAGTCAAAAGTGGACAAATATTCAGAGACGAAAGTAGTATCACACATTAAAAATTAATACTCCAGTAATAGAAATACATTTGAAGGGTAAATTCTACCTTTATTAGTTTCCTTTCTCTCTTTTTTTGTTATTTTTGTTCTTTCTCTTTTTTATTTTGCTAGCCCATTCCATAATATGGAGTAAAATTATCCCTTCTTTTAATAGATAAAATTGAATTCTAAAAAACGCAAAAGGTTTTCTTAGGATTTGTTTGGTACACAGAACTAAATTGAGTTGAGAGTTGAAATTATATGAAATTGGTTTCGATGAAATTTGATTTATTCATTTTTGTTACTACCAATTTTAAATCAAATATATTTTTATGCTACTAAACAACAAATTAAAATTATTATTCGATTTATTCCTAATTTTAATTTCAATATGCCATATAGATTTTAGTGTTATGGATTCGATCCTGGGCCAATCTTTAGCTTATTCAAATCCGGATTTGGACTAACGCACCCGTATTCACCTAGGACGCAATCCGACACCCTTGAATAAAACCCGTGGGCCTTCTGGTAATTACAACCAATTATACTCCGCATTATTAAACTAAAAAAAAAAAAATACGGAGTACGAAAATAACCGAGCGCACATCCTAGAAGATTTCCGTCTGCGTCCTCGACTGTGTCTAGGGTTTCTCTTGCGATTGGACCGTTCCAATTCGCCTCCATTGCTGTCCGCATCGGAGCTTCAAGGCCTTCTCGCGGAAGCCCATAGCCATGTACGGATCAAGAGGGTAAGTCGAACACGAAATCCGCCTATATTTTTATGTTAATTATTCCATGGATTTACAGACTGATTTGTCAATTTATGCTTTGAATTTATGCCGATTCGTTGTGTTTCGTGATTGGGGGTTTCAGAGATTTGTTTTAACGGATCTCTGGATCGATTACCTGTTGTTGTTTTTAATATTATGCGGATTTAAAAGAACCATTGTAGAAGATGGAGATTTTTGTGTCCAATTGGTGTTTACGCTCGTTAACGGAGGAGAGGATATCGAAATGCTTGCTTTGTTTTGTGTTTTCTTTTGATGTTGAAATTAAATTGCTGATATTTAGTTTGTAGTGGTAAGGTTTGCGTGCACATACACTCCCTAGACACCACTGTTTGTGGGATATTATTTAGTTTGATATTTATACATGAAAAGGTTTTTTCTTTTACATTTGTAGAGGTTTTTTCTTTTACATTTGTAGTTCACTTGAGCATGTAATGTTTTTGAAAATGGATTTTGCTTTGCGTTTATGGTTCTTACAAAGACTTTTGTGGTGTCTAACTCTCATTTCCTATGATTTTCTGTGGCTATTATGCTCCTTAAGTCCAAACCAGGGATTAGTAGCGTTATTGTAGCATTGGGCATTGCACTTTGTATTTTGTTTTTGTTACTAGAGATTCTGGATGCACCAATTATATGTTCAGGATTTTTCTAGAAAGGAAATCAATTAAATTTGTTTTTTAATACTTCATTGCCCCACAGAAAAAGTCTTGTTTAACAAAAAAAAGAGGCACATTTCATCTAACAAGGCTATTTTCAGGAAATTTGTTAGAAAAAGGTTACATTCAAGTTTTATTTGATAAATCTGGTTAAGCCAACAATTGAATTTTAAAATTATGAGTTGGTGTGTTTTATGAGATTCATCATTATGATAAATTTAGTTAAGCCAACAATTGATTTTAAAAATTATAAGTTGCATTTCATGAGTTTCATCAGTTTTACATTGTCAAAATTTAAAAAGTTGTGCCTCGAGACAAAGGAAGTATCATTTCTGACTGCTTTCTCTTGATAGTTTATAGTATCAATGAGCATTTTAAAATAGTAATAAGGGTTATAGCTTTCAGTGCTCCATTCTTTCAAAATTGATGCATATTTATGTTTTTTTTGGATATAGAAGTTAGAGACTAGGACTTAGAAACCACATGGGTTGGGTATGGTTTTATTAACAAGGTTGAGTTGGGGGATTTTTGTCCTTTTTGTGTATGAATAACTGAAGGGCCATGTTGGGGAGCGGGGGGGTGTCGGACGGGTACGACATCGGCTCAAAGAGACCAAGAATGACGGAATCGAATCCCTACTTTGCAGTGAACAACGGTCCAAGTGGTTACCCGTTCACCCACGGATATCCATCCTCAGGGGCATTTCCTGTGGTCCGTCTCAGGGGTCTCCCCTTCAACTGTTCGGAATCCGACATCCGACTCTTCTTCGCCGGTCTGGACATCATTGACGCATTCCTGGTGAACAAAAATGGAAGGTTTTCAGGAGAGGCTTTCGTCCTCTTTGCTGGAAACATGCATGCCGAGAATGCCCTTCTGAGGGACCGCCAGAACATGGGGAGGAGGTACGTCGAGGTTTTCAGGTGCAAGAAGCAGGACTACTATCAGGCCATTGCTGCAGAGGTTAGAGAATCACCGGGATATGACCACAACCACCACGGTTCTTCCCCACCACCACCACTGCATAAGCCGCCTAAAAGGACTCAGAACAAGGACCAGTTGGAGTACACTGAGATTCTGAAGCTACGCGGACTTCCCTTTTCTGTCAAGAAATCAGATATTATCAAGTTTTTCGGCGCGGATTACAATTTGACCGACGAAAAGGTGCGGATCGGGTACCGATCCGATGGGAAGACTACCGGGGAGGCATACGTGGAGTTCACATCATCCGAGGAGGCGAAGAACGCAATGTGCAAGGACAATATGATGATCGGATCGAGGTACATTGAGCTCTTTCCTTCAACTCAGGATGAAGCAAGGAGGGCTGATTCTAGGTCAAGACAGTAAAAATAGAGTGCTGGAAAAAATTGCAATCTTTTTCATCTTTAAAAAGCATTTACTGCTTCTTTTTCTCCTTGTTTGGGGACTTTGTTCTTGCCCTTGATGAAAATTTACTGCTTTTCATGTCTCGGCAGTGTTTGTTTATTACTGTATTTTCTAGAAACAAATCATAGTAATGGTAGAGAGTGGGTGGACTCCTGGATATATAATTTTGGTTAATTTTACTGGGCTTAACTCTATCTTGTTTGGTTTGTTGGAATGTGGGGCAGGATGAAAACTTTGGCTTGAGGTGTGTTTGGTTGGAAGGGATTGGGGTGAAGGGGAAGGCTAAAGTGAAGCCTGAACCTCCCTCCCCCAAACGTTTCGAACTAAACAAGTGCGGGGGGGGGGGGGGGGGNCCCTCATCTCCAACCAAACACGCCATTGTTGGAGTGGAGTTGTTGCATTTGAGGGGAATATGTAACTAATCCCTACCCTTTACTTTGGAGATCATGTCCCACATTTCCAGCACCTTGTTATAAACTAGGCCTTGGGATATGATAATAAGACAGATTGATCCATGTACTACTCCATTCCTATTCAATTTTAGTTGTTTGTTTGTAGAGTCAAATTTTAACTACGTTAGTTTTGTCTGATTTCATGGCCCATTTGAGAAACTTATATAACTTATATAGTTTAATCACTTCTTATTCTGTAGAACTTTTGATGTAGTTTTCAAATATATACTCCTTCCATCTCAGTGTATTTGTCCAGTTTGATTTTTTTCGAGTCAAACTGGACAAACTTTGAACTTTAATTAAATAAAAACCGTAATGTATTTTAACATAAAAATGACTTTATCGGATTTATTGTATTGAGAACTTTCAAAATTTATTTCATTATGCTAATATGCAATATAAATTGAGAGCAATTGGAGTTAAAAGTTTGTCTAGTTTGACTCAAAAAAGTCAAAATCGACAAATACACTGGGACGGGGGTAGTAAATTTTACTAGTATTTTTTTTAATTTTATACTAATTTTCAAAAAACTTGAATTGAAAATAACTTCAATTAAATCTTGTAAATAATATTCTCCAGTTTTAAAAACTCTTCATGTTTTGACTTTTTTAACTCAAATAGTCACATTTTTTAACCTCAAATTAAGCATAATGTAAATAAATAAATGTTATAAAAATTTGATATTTCAAAAATATATCTTAAAATGAACCAAATTATTTTGAATTTATATTATAATTGAATATACTTTTCTCACAATTTGTGGTCAAAGAATTTTAGTATTTAACCAAATAGAGTCAATACAAAAAGAATTTTTAAGACTGAAGAGAGTAATAGTCAATTTGGTAAGGAGAATTAAATACTATTCTATGTATGAAGAAGGGATTGAATTCTTAATAGATCAAGAGTCTCCCATAGCTTCTACCCACTAGATACTTGAATAAGACTAATACCTACTCAGTACAATATTGTCATAAAATATTCCGCGAGTTAAAGTCAATCAAAAGATATGAGTTAAATGTATGATATGTGATGCCAAGTCTTTGGTTTGATTTTGAGCTAAGTTGTCCCGGATGGGATCAGAAATGAGGACAACACCATTGTTTCCAAATTTTACAAAGAATTTGAATGGCGAGACGTTCCGAAGTGCCCAAATAGGGGCCGTTTTGGGGAAGGGAAAACACTTGGTTAAAAAATTCGTGCAACATAGATTTTGTGTATCTCATTAGTAGTCCATCAGTTGGAAAAGCCCATGGTCAGTTAGAGTCATTCAGTCATTCTACATCAACCAACTGCTTCCAAGATCCTTCTTCATTCCAATTTGCATCATTTTTTGCCTCAACTTAGAAGCCTCTTCCCATCTCCCCTCTCTAGAGTACATGTTAGACAAAACAAGGTATGGAGAAGGATCTTTAGGGTCAATCTCCAACACTTTTCTTGCACACTTCTCTGCTATCTTCACATCTTCATAACTCCTACATGCATTCAACAATGTCTTCCATGCAAAAACACACTCATTGCCACTACCCACCACTTCATACGCTTCCTCCAGTCTCCCCGCACGACCGAGAACATCAATCAAACACCCGTAGTGTTCTTTTTCGGGTCCCAAACCGTACCTCTCATTCATCAGTTTGAAGATGAGCAGACTCTCTTCTACCATGCCTGCGTGACTGCAGGCTGACAGAACTGACAGGAAGGTGACGGGGTTGGGTAAAAATCTCATCTTTACCATTTCTTGAAACAATTTAACCGCTTTAACGGCGTTTCCACCCTTTGCAAAACCAGAGATCAGCGAGTTGAAGAACACCTCGTTTGGTTCTCCTTGTTCCTCAAATGCCATCTCAGAATCCTCCATGTACCCGCATTTCGCGTACATGTCAATGAGCGAGCTCTTGACATAGATATCTCTGTGGAACCCTAATTTGCATATAAGGGAATGGATCTGTTTTCCTATATCAACGGCTGAGATCTTTCCACAGGCAGCAAAGGTTAAAGGAAGGCTGAAATTCGTTGGAGGTATGCCGTTTTCTAGCATTTCTTTGAAGATTTGAAGAGCTATAAAACCGAAACCGTTCTGTTGGTAAGCTCCAATGAGTGAACTCCATGAGATTTCGTCTTTATGGACAATGTCATTGAAGGCCTTATGAGCACACTCTATGTTCTTGCAGTTGGAATACATTTTTATGAGTGCATTCCCAATGGAAGTCCTGTTTGTTTCGAAGTTTTTTGTTATCAAGCAATGAACCTGAATTGCTATGGGAGAATCCAAAACGGTTTTGCAAGAGTTCATAACAGTAACAAAAGTTGCTTCATTTGGAGATAACAAAGGGGTTTGGTTTAGTAGTTCTCTTAGCAGACTGACACATAACGAAGAAGAAGAAGAAGAAGAATCTCCTTCTTCCTCTAATTCTGCATAACACATGATCATTGTGTTCCAAACCACAATATCTTTGTTTTCCATACTTCTGAACAGCTTTTCAACCTCAGATATTCTGTTCCCACCTGCGTAAAGATTGATGAGGCCAGTGTTGACAAAACAGTCCCTTTGATAACCGTTCTTGATGGTTTGTGAATGGATTTGAATTCCAGTTTCAAGAAAGCCGATCTCCGCACAGGCTCTCAAGGTGCTAGATAGTATATGCTGATCGGGTCTCACGCCTTGCGAAAGCATGCCTTTGAACAAAACTATAGCGCGCGTATCCGAACCGGTTCTTACATGACCGGTCACTATTGAACTCCAAGCAAACGCATCCTTAACCTCCATTGACTCGAACACCTTTTCCCCAGAACCTAAATCTCCACATTTCCCATATACATCCACCAAAGCACTTCCCACTACAATGTCGCCATCAAATCCGGATTTCATAGCAAGGCAATGAACTTGCTCAACGTCTTTGCCGGAAAAGCAACATTTGAGCAAACTGGTTAATGTGAAATCATTTGGCATCAACCCATCCGCCTTCCTCATCTCCTCGAACAGGCTCAAAACCTTGTTGACATCGCCTGATTGGGCAAACCCAGATATGATGATGTTCCATATTACAAGATCCCTCTCTGATAGTCCATTGAAAACACAAAATGCATCACTTAAGTTGTCTCCAACCTTTTTGTAGAAATCTACAAGACTACTCCCAGTGTACTCATTCTTGGCAAGCCCATACTTGAGAATCAAACCATGAACTTGCTTCCCCAATTCAATCAAGGAACAACTAGTACAAGCTCGAATTATGGTCGAAAACGTATACGGGTTTGGATTCTCATTCTTTCGCAGCATCTCTTTGAATAAATTCAGGGCTTTTTCAGGATCCCCATAGCGAACTGAAGAGGAGATCATTGAAGTCCAAGTAACCACGTCCTTTTGAGGCATTTTGTCGAACAGCTTGCGGGCAGCGGAGAAATCCCCACATTCCGAGTAGAAACTCAATAGGGTGTTTGATACGTGGACTTGGTGATCGTAGGAGGGGGACTTGAGTAGGGCGGCGTGGATTTCTTTGCACAGCGTGATTGATTTGGATTTTAAGTGTTTTTGGAGTAGCTGAAAAACGGGTTCGGGTCTGGCCGGTGTCTGGGAAGCCTGGCTGATGAGTTTCGCCGTCGACCGGCGAAGCATTTTGCTCCGGCGGGCTGATTTTTCATGCCATAGTGTTACCGGATTAATGACTTCCTAACATTTCTTTTTTCCACAAAGATAAATGAGATTTATGGTATGTTGTTTTTCTTCCCATTTATTTTTGACAAAATTGGAAACTAATGTCATTTACTATTGTATCAAAATTTGATGAAATTTTTAAAACTATTAATTTTTTCTCTTATATAGATTAAGTTCAGTCACATGTCCTAAATTGAAACTAGAACTTGTTTATTAAAATACGTCTCGTTTAATCCAGTGGCCTCCGGTAAATTCATCATCCACCTACGTCAATTGCACCAGGTAAGACTTTAAAATCAAAGTCTAACCGATTAAAATAAGGAAAAATTACCCAAAATAATCCCAACTTTACCCGATATCTTAAAAATAATCCTACCTTTCATTGTGATGCATAATAATCCCAACTTTATTGAAATTTGCCAGTTTTGGGTCGCCGTTAAATTTCTAACGGAGGGTTAACGAAAATGCTCATTTTAGGCAACAAAATGAAAGTTGGGATTATTTTTTATGAATTTTCATTTTTTTATTTTTTTTAAATTTTTCCCATCAACGTTTCTTTTTCCTTTTTTGAAGATTAGTCTTAGTTTAAAAAATAAAAATAATAGATATAAAAAATGAAAAAAACGAGAAATGTAACTAAAATGATACAAAAATAATAAAATAAATAAGATAATCAATGGAAACTAACTAGAAATTGGTAAAAATAAAATAAAAATATATGGGTGGGTTTTAATATTTTACGCATTATACAAAGTATTAACATATCACTTCTTATTTTTTTAGAAAAAATTATCTACAATAATTCAAACTTTACCAGACGGCTTGTTCTTTTAAAAAATAAATAGTACATTAAGATTCCGTATAGTGTGTAAAATGTTAAAATCCACCATTCCGTATATATTTATTTTATTTCTTACCAGTTTCTGTTTAATTTCTATTGATTACATTATACTCTTTTGGGAGAAATCTGTGTGTGAAAGCATTTATTTATTTTTGGGACCTCCCATGCTTGACTTGACTTGACTTGCTGTCTAATTGGTCAGTCTATACATACAATTATTATTATTATTATTTATATTCAATTAAAGGGAAATGGGAGTGTAGTGTCATAGTAGTAGTAGTAGTAGTAGTAGTAGTAGTAGTAGTAGTTTACCTTCAAAGCTCAACATGATGAGTATTAGTTCTTGGGAGGCATGTCCTAAATTCCTAATAAAAATGATAAACACTGGTTGTGGGTGTTGGCAGGCGGTCTACTACTACTACTACAAGCAAGCCATGTAGAGTCTTGTGTTGAAGAAGAGCGCCTAGCTCTACTTGATATCATGGCGTACATGAAACCATTCGATCAACGGAATGACAGCATATTGATAGGCACCCACTCCAAGGTAGAAGACACAATTGGCAGTAAGGTAAAGGGAGGAAGTGATAAGGCTATATTGGTGAGGTTTTGTGCAAGGAATGGAGGATTTTAAGGGAGGGAAGACTAGGAACGAAATTGGCAGTGAGGAAGGAGTATTTTTAGGCTTTTGTTTAAGTGGAAAAGTGGAGAGAAAAGTAATATTAGGGTGGTGGATGGGAGCAGGCCGAAAATAAGGGAGAAGAGAGGGGGAAATAAACAGTTTAGTATTTCTTTGGGATAGATAAACCAAGAGATATTACACACTCTTCTCCTCACTTGGGGTTCAATCTAGAATTTAATTAAGATATAACACACTTAATCAAATATCTAGAACCTAACACTCACACTTAAGGAAACCAACCTTAAGATATAGAAATTAGGATTTAAAATAACAAACACAATGGTTTATTACTTGGAAATGAAAAGGAATACAATCTGTTTTCAAATGAGGCCTATGGCCGAAATAAATAACAAGGGAAAGGGGGAAATTACAAGCTTTGTTCCTTAATCAAATCACCAAAATATGACTTAATATGATATGCCTTGATGGAATGAAATAAAAGTGGAGTGTAGTGTTTGTGGGACTTGGGTATTTCGGCCAGTAGTAGGGGGG